GAGAAGCCAGAGAACTTATATGTACAACTTAGTTCATGGGCGTGAACTAGGGGGAGGGGGGATGCTGGAAGGAGGTGGAGGGCGGAGGGGGATGAAGGAGAGAAAAAAATGGGACAACTGTAATAGCATAATCAATAAAACATACTTTAAAAACAATAAAAATAATGTATTCTGATTGAGTGTAAGTATGTAGCGTTCCCCAAACAGTACAAACTAAATGAGCTTTAGAGGTTCATGTTTTGGTGGTAAACATTAAAAAATATAAAGAAAAGCAAGGACGCAATTACCATTCAGACCAGGAGAGAGCCTGCCCCCGGAAGAGAGGCACAGAGCCGTGGTTCGGGGGTCAGCAGTGGGCTCCGGGGCCGGCCGGGTTTCACTTTGTGGCCCGAATGGTTTTGCACTGGTGTTTGCTTGTGACCATTCATTGAACTGTAAGCTTTGTTTTTGTACATTTTTCTGTATGTACATTTTATTCCATGATATAAAAGTTTAAAACAGTCTCTATCTCATAAGAGTCTTTGAGATCTCTCATAGGATCCAGCTGCAGAGAGCCTGGCATACAAGAAGTGCCCACTAAAGCCAGTGACTCGGATTTTCATCGGATTGCGGGCGTTTTGAATGTGACCTGCTCGAGCGTGTGGAGCTCACCAGAGGGTTTGTGGGTAGCCCACATAGTCATGGGAGGTCACCACAGGCAGATGTGTGAGGCACAGGTGGGGTGCGCAATGTCGGGGGCTGAAGATCATGGGCCAGCCTGGACAGGGTGATGCATCTCTCCCACTGAATCTTTCAACCAGCAGACCATGGAGTCCCCCAAACATAGGGGTCCAAGTTCAGGGACAGGAAGGTACTTTAGTGAGTCAAACTGAAAGCTCTGAAGGATGGGATCGGGCCAGTTGTAGCTCTAGCTACCTCTCACCATTGCTCAGTGAGGCCTGCTTCAGAAAGAGCCCTGGCCTGTGCGTGCTAACCAGCCTTGGCCAGAGCAGCCCGGACCCCGTCCTCGGCGTGGTCATTCATTGAGCTGTGTGCATTGTGAGTCCAGAGGCAGAAGTGTGGGGGCTTCATCCACATTTGCCTCTAGGCTTTGGAGAGCCTCTCACTTCCACCCCACGCTGGACAAAGCAGGGCAGGGAAGATTCGCAGGGTGTGCGCTGCCGCAGGCAGGCACAATGGGCTAATGGCTTGCAGTGCTCCCCAAATCCACCCAGATAATGAGGGGTTAGCTCTCCTGTAACCTAGCAAGGCAACCTTTGTTTATTATGTCAAGTGTATGGAGGTATAATTTGTATACAATTAAATACACCCTTTTGAAGCATATAGTTCAATGAGTTTGACAAATAGGTGTGTTCATATAACTACCACCCTAATCCAGATGTACACATCTGTCACCCACAGATTTTCCTCAGCTGTTTACAGCCAATCCCCTCCTCCAGCCCTTGGCCTTGGCAACTGCTGGTCTGTGTTCTGTCCTTATCATTTTGTCTTTTCCAGAATGCCAACTAATAGAATCATTCAGGTTGCAGCCTTTTGAATCTGGCTTTATTCACTAAACATATTTGCTTTTGAGAATCATCTGTGTGGTTGCAAGTATCAATAATCCCTTCCTTTTTATTACTCAGTGGTGTATCGCTGTGTGCATATATCACAATTAGGTGGACATTTGGACTGTTTTCCGTTTTGGCCATTATGTATCGAGCTGCTCCTTGCATTCACATACAGGCCTTTCAGTGGACACGTATTTTCATTTCTCTTGGGTAAATAGCCAGGAGTGAGACTGCCAGGTCGTATGGTGCACGTGTCTGCATCTCTCACGGAAACTCACAAGCTCTTTGCCGAAGCGGGCATGTTCCATCTTCGTTTTTATTCCCGTTGGTGGAACTGAGCTCCTGTCATCAACAGCAGGACCACTGTGGAAAGACCACCAACTCGCTAATTCAGTGAGAAACTCAAGTTAAGAAACAGTTGTAAAAATTTTTTCTGTTTTAGTTTTTTAAGTACCAACCACAGCCTTAAGGATTGAGGAAGGAGTGCCCATCCCTCCTGGGTGACCAACTGTCCCTGTTTGGCCAAGGCTCTCCTGGTTTTAGCACGGAAAGTCTTATGTCCTGGGGAACCCCTCAGTCCTAGGACCAAACTGGGACAGGTGGTCACTCTAACTATGGGGTGTCAGGTGCTGTGCCAGGCACTGTACTTCCATCACATCATTTCATTCACAGGCTAGTGTCAAGGGTAGGGTTTCTTGTCCCATCTCGAGCATAAGGAAATAGACTTTGAGAGGTTAAGGTGATCCTCCAGCTCACACTCCAGAATACATAGAACCAAACGTTGACAACAGGCCTGCCAGACTCCAAAGCACTGCTGTCCTCCGAGGAAGGAGACCTCATTGCCGAGGTGCTGAGGTTTGGGCCTCATAGGTATGGGCCCGCAGGCGAGCCTGGGCAGAGCTTTGCTGCCCTCTGGTGGCAGATATGGTAGCACTCTGGGTATGAGTCCGTTCTTGTGGGGCAGAGAGGCTGGGAAGGCACCCTTTCCTCCCAGGGAGCAGGACCTCAGATCTGGCCTCAGCCCTAGAAGGATGCCACATGGATGGCTCCCCCCAGTGTCTGCTGGGGGTCTTGGTCCAGCCATCCGTAAGTCACATGATGACTTAGGGCCCAGGGCCAGACTGTTGGGTTTGAGTCTGTGTGACCCTGAGTGTCACTGACACCTCTGGGCTTCAGTTCCTTCTCTATAAATAAGGAAGACAAACATGTTGACACATTTAGACTAGGCGTAGACTGAGGTTGTTACCAGCTCCTCCATACCCACATGCCCTAACTCTTCCCCGCCTTTGTGCACTCATTCACTTCATTCGGTCACTTCACTTCCGTCCAGCAGTTGTCTATTGTACCAAGCACCACCTCTGTGCCAGGGTGTGCCCTGAGCTGGGGGTGCCAGGGAGACGGCTGCCCTCCTGCCTCTGTAATTTTCCACTAACCATCTTATGTGTTTATTCCTCCTTCTTTCATTCATTCACCATGATACATCCATTTATTTATTGTGTTCATTGTTTTCCATTACAATTGACAGTCAATATTACTTTATAGAGTGTTCATTTTTGTCTCATATTTTCATTCATTTAACTTCCTTTCATTCATTCATTCATTCATCATTTGATCATCTCATTTACATGTTCATTCATTCTTTTTTTTCAGGCAGTTGTTGACTCCCTCCCTTCCTCCCGCCTCATTCCCCAGTTCTGCAAGCACTCTGGAAGCACCACTGTACTCTAGGCCAGGATTAGATGCTGGGACTCAGCTCTCCCCCCCAGACCTGGGGAAGACAGATGGTGAGGACACACCTGCCACAGGGACCCAGATCAGAGTAGAGCACTAAGAAGAAAGCAACTGTCTGCCTAGAGGAGGGGGCTGGGGAAGAGGTTTCAAGGAGGAAGTAGGGTTTCAGCTGAGCTAAGAAGGGTGCGTGGGAGTTCTCCAGGGAGGAAAGGACACTCCCGGTAAAGCATTTGTTTTTTTTGTTTGTGGGTTTTTGGTGTGTTTGGAGAAAAGTGAGGTGCCTGGGTGGCTAGAGTTGGTGATATAGGCTCATGTGTCCCTGACCACACCTAGGCCAAGCCCTTCCTAGGTTCTAGTGACAGACCTAGGTCACTCAAGAATTTCCCCTAATTCATCACTCTTGGCCCCTGGAAAACCACCCACTGTCAGGCAGCCAAGAATGGTCCGAGAGTGCTAATACAGCACCCTGTCACAGGAGTCAACTGTTCCACCCCTGGACCCTCAGTGGGCGAGCTATCCTGGGCTGAGCAGGCTAAGCAGGCCACAGCATCGACAGTATCTGATTCCCGGCCGCCAAGATCTCATGGCCATCCAGCAAATGTCTGAGCACCTTACCATGAGGTAGGTCTTGCCCCAGACACTGGGAATACAGCAGTGAACAAGACAAAACTTTCACTCTCTAGCAGGCAACAAATGATAAATGAGAAAACCAGTTGTGAAGGCCACCAAGAACATACCTGTGGCCGAACAAGTTGGGTTTACTGTCTCTCTCTAGGAAGACTGCACTAACTTCAGCAGGTGAGTGGTAAAGAGGACTGACAGGAGTTAGACTTAGGTTAAGTGATTTGGGTGAGGGTTCAAGTAAGTGCGTTGCTATTCTGGATTAGATGCTCTCAGGAAGCAGATACAATTCTATGGTTGGATGTCTTAAATATCTAAAGTTAGAAGAATGAATTGAGGCCAATGCTGCAAAGAAGCAGCAGTTACTCATATTAGCCAGAGTGGTGAAAATGTTCGGTCTTTTTCTTAGCTCCAAAGATATTCTTGTTTTCTTCTGAGTTCAAACACGATTACAGAGCATTCTTGTTTATGTCTTGCTCCATCACTGTCACAGAATGGCCTAGCGTGATGTCGGTGTTCTGGAAAACTGTTGACGTCCAACAGGAGAGCACCAAGGCCTAGCTGTGAGGGCCTGGTCGGCTCCTGGATGTGAGGAGCAGCTTTTCTCTTTCTCCTACAGAAGTCTCCTTCACTCCATATAGGTATGTTGGCAGGGTGCCAGATGCAAAGTAATTCGAGGTGGGCAAAAGACACAGGCCTCAGTCTTTAGGGAGCTGTTTGCGCTATCTTATATAAACAGATTGTCAGAAACGGATAGGGGAAGTGGACCAAACCCAAGGATCAGGATAAAGGTCCAGGGCGGGAGGGGAGGCAGAGAGACATTAGCAGGACAGCCAACAGAGCCCTGACAGCAGGCGACTGGAGAGGTCGATTAAGAAGGCAGGACCTCCTCTCGCCCAGGACTGTGGGCGTTCCGCTGCCGGGATTTGCCAAGAAACAGGAAATGAAATCAAGCAGCGAAGATCAAAACAACCTACTCGGACTCCCACTCATGAATATTCAGCAGCCTATTTCTAGCGTGCGACTTTGTCCCAGTCCCGCCCAGCTGGGAGACTGCGCCTGCGTAGCTGGCTCTCGGCTCTGTCGTCATATGTGAGCGCCGTTGCCGCCACCGTCCGCTAGGGAAGCAGGAGCGCAGTCATGGCGAGTTCTGCAGCCTCCGCAGTGCGACCGCCGAGGCCCAAGAAAGAGCCGCAGGCGCTCATTATCCCCAAGAATGCGGCGGAGGAGCAGAAGCTCAAGCTGGAGCGGCTCATGAAAAACCCGGTGAGACGAGGCGCGGGCTCGTCGGCCCCTCCGAGTCCCAGCCCCTTCCATTCAGGCGCTTCTGGGGATCCCCTGGCCTACCTCCCCCGCCTCCAAACTCAGGAATTCAGTGTCCGGGCCCCAGAGTCAGTCCCCCGGAGTAGGCTGCTCCGGAGACAGTGAGCTCCCTTCTGCCCAGCCACGATTGCGGGGTGGGAGGGGGGCGCTGTGGAGCGGCTTTCCTTGTTCCAAGACCTTTTCCAGTTTAACCTTTTGTGAACAGAGGCGGCAGAAACTTTAGACTGGAAAGATAGAGCCCTTGAATTAGTAAAGGGTTATTTTTTTCTAAACAGCACCTTGTTAGAGGTATTGGGGGAAGTCACTCCCCCCGCCCAGGCTTCAGTTCCCTCAGGCATAAAAACAAGTGGATGAGGTCTCATCTTTGACCAGAAAGGACTGACTTTTCTCGTGTAATAGGGTTTAAGTTGGAGGCTTGCAGCCGTGCGTGGTGACTAAACGTTTCTGAGTTCTTCTCTGGAAAGTTAAGTATAGCTTGGCAAGGCTGTGGCCTGTGATAGACCCCAAAGTATACAGGATGAAGTAAAGGTAAGACCGAGGGAAGGAAATGAAACAAGCTTTGAGTCCAAGGAGCAAAGCAGTCTTACTCCATTGTCTATTAAAATTCTTTGGTTGTAAGAGATGTGACTTTGTCCGCAGGTTTATACTTAAAAATACTCTCCTGTTTAAATGTTTCAGGACAAAACAGTTCCGATTCCAGAAAAAATGAGTGAATGGGCACCTCGGCCTCCCCCAGAATTTGTCCGAGATGTAATGGGTAATGTCTTTTGGGGAGTATGTGTTTATGTAAATATACTTTTTGAAGTGTAGATATAAAAACCCTGCAGTTAGTGTATGTTAATTAGATCTCTAACAGGGAAAAATGTAGTTTGCTTTCACAATGAAGGAGTTTGGCACTAGAGAATTTTCTTATGCATTGTTTTAGCAATGTCTTGTATTGGTTATTTCTAAATGAAAGTAGTTTTATTTTGTTGGGTTGTAAATTAGAAAAATAGCCCTGGCTGGTGTGGCTCAGTGGATTGAGCGCCGGCTTGGGAACCCAAGGGTCGCAGGTTTGATTCTCAGGACACGAGCCTGGGTTGCAGGCCAGGTACCCAGTAGGGAGCATGTGAGAGGCAACCACACATTGATGTTTCTCTCCTTGTCTTTCTGTCCCTTTCTCAAAAAAGAAAGAAATAAAATCTTTTTTAAAAGGACAGAAAAAGAAAGAATTGTTAAAGTTTGAACCACCTATAATTTCATTATTCTACTTGTAACATTCTGATATAGCCTTCCAAACATTTTTATAGCCAAAACCACTGCTGCTTAGGAAAAAATGTTTTTAGAAAAATATGATTGTTTTTACAAATACTAATAGTAACCAAATTTTGTCAATACGTCATGGACATCTTCAGCGTAGCAGAAATTTAACATGTCAAATGTCAGATCATCTGGCGAGGAAGGAAGGGGCATAGCCCTCAACTAGGTTTTCAGTCACTGAATTGCATTCTGTTTGTCCTCTTACTAGTGCATTAGCGTGGAATTTTTAATGACTTCACATTCACCATTCGTGCAACAAGTATTTAATAAGCTAGATTCTGTGGTACAGTGGAGAAAAGGACAGGCTGCTCTTTACATTATTTGAGTTTCTTTGGTCACTTTTATTTTTATTTTTTGCTACTTATTGATTTTTAGAGAGGAGTAGGGAGGGAGAAACATCAATTTGTTTTCCACTTGTTTGTGCACTCATTGGTTAATTTCTTGTGTGTGTCCTGACCAGGGATCTGACCTGCAACCTTGGCCAGGTAGATCCTCTAACCAGCTGATCTACCTGGGCAGGGCCCTCTTTGGCGACTTTATTATTATTATTATTATTTTAATTGAGAAACATTGCTTTGTTGTTGTACCTACCCATGCCTTCACCAGCTGTCTCTTGTATGTGCCCTGACCAGGGATTGAACCTGCCACTTTTTGGTGTACCAGACGACGCTCCAACCAAGCCACCCCATCCAGGGATCTCTGGTCACTTTTAATGACACGTAGCCTGTGTTGATAACTGGAGCTCACTAAGAACTCTGAACTCTCCTGGCTGTAGGTTCAAGCGCTGGGGCTGGAAGCGGAGAGTTCCACGTGTACAGGCATCTACGCCGGCGAGAGTATCAGCGACAGGACTACATGGATGCCATGGCCGAGAAGGTCAGTGAGCAAGGAGGCTGGCTGAACCCTTGGGTTCGGACAATGTGTACTTATAACTTTTAGGAAAAAAGCTTTTGAAACAGAGTAGATACATCTGGTTTGTGTACGAGCTACCTTTTTAAGTCAGCACCAGCAACAGACATCAAATAGAGTGCAGGTTACTCCTAGGTCAGACTCAGCACAAGATAACGACACTAGGAAATGAATAAGGGGGGGCGAGAGCCCCCTTTCCCATCCAGGTCTTTTGGCATGAGATGGAATAGAAAGCAGGATCGCCCACACACCACTGTTCTCTCTCTCTTGGCTGCATACCTGTAATTCCACTCAGCAGTGTTTTTGTGAACAGTAGTGTACTTACAGGTGTCTGCTGCTTTTAGTTTTCCAGCTTGGAGGCTGGCATTTCTTCATGATGAGTGTCAAATTAAAAATTGAGAGTTGCTTTTGAGATTGTACTATAAGAACGATTAAGCTTTTTATTACTTGATTGGAAGGGCCAGAAGTCTTTCTCCTGTTCATAAAAATACTGTTTTGGACAGATTGCTTTGTTTTATTTTCTAACTAAATTTTGGAGTTATTTTACCCACACTAAAAATCTTGTTGGATTTTTTACTAGAATTGAGTTGAATCTGTAATTTAATTTGAATGAGAATGGATGTTATAGTGTTTAGTTGTCCCTTCAAGAAACTTTCTCTTCATTTGTTTAAATCTTCTATCTCTCAGTGATGATTTATGGAGACTTTATGTATCTCACCTCATTTGTTCAAAGATATTTTGACTGCAGTAGCTAGCTGATCCTTTATTTTATTATTTGATATTAGTGAGATGCAGAAAAAAATACTTTTTTAAAAGATTTTATTTATTTATCTTTAGAGGGGGGAAGGGCGGGAGAAATAGAGGAAGAAAAACATCAGTGTGTGGTTGCCTCTTGCACACCCACTACCAGGGACCTGGCCCCCAACCCAGGCATATACCCTGCTAGACTGGGAATCGAACTGGTGACCCTTTAGTTCATAGGCCCACACTCAGTCCACTGAGCTACACCAGCGGGGGCAAAATACTGACTTTTATATAGTGCTCCTATATTTACCCACCTTACTGTTAATAAAAATCAAATATTATTTGGCTGTTTTTTTGAGATTTTTCCAATCTGATTTCTCCTCTTAACACTATGCATGAGAGATTGTCCCTTGTTCTTAATCTTACAATATGAGCTGGAAAAGTCTTCCTCAGTCTTACCATAATGGCTATTATTTCATGGAATACATTTGTACATTTAGAGAGGTTCATATTTTTTTTTAAAGATTTTTATTTATTTTCAGAGAGAGGAGAAGGGAGGTAGAAAGGGAGAGAAACATCGATCTGTAAGAAAAACATGGTTGGGTTGCCTCTCGCCCGCTCCCAAATGGGGACTCAGCCCACAACCCGGGCATGTGCCCTGACTGGGAATCAAACTGGTGACTTTCAGTTCACAGGGCAGTGCTCAACCCACTGAGCCACACCAGCCAGGGCAGATACTTTAAAATTATATTTATTTATCTGCTTTTTATAAAAGAGGAAACTACCCAATAGCATTTGATTTTCTAATAATTTAGTTAAAAAAATTAGAATCTTTGCAGAATTTATTTCTATACGAAGGAATAAAATACATTTTAAAGTTAAACAACATTCATAAAAATAGAATACTACTTAGCAATAAAAAGGGACAAACTATTGATACATGCAACAACATGGATAATTCTTAAAAACATGATGCTGAGTGAAAGAAGTCTTGCACAAAAGAGACCATACCATATGATTCCATCTACATAGAAACTAATTTATGGGGGGAAGACTCAGAACAGTAGTCCTCTCTGGGAGCTGGAAGAGGGGTTAACTGGGAAGAGGTATAAGGGAACTTCTGGGGTGATCAAGTTGTACACTCAAGATTTGGGCATTTCGTTGTGTGGAGTATTACTTTACATAGGAAAAGACAAATATTATACTTTAGTTAATGATCCATATACTTAAAACCTTAGAAATGAAATGCCCTGATGACTACAACTTACTTTGAAATGTACCAAAAACAGTAAGATGGATTAATGAATGGCTAGAGGCATAGATAGGTAGATACATTGTGATAAAGCATGTAGCCAAACGTCAATGGTGTAGAATCTTGGTGGTGAGTATATGCACTGTATAATTCTTTCAGCTTTTCTGTGTTTGAAATTTTTCAGTGTAAAACACTAGGGAAAATATTGAACCAAAGGAACAAACAAGATACAGAAGAAAATGTGTAAAAATGTATTGGCATGGCAAAAAAAATGAATTGAAAAATGTCTTTATGATTTGGACATTATTGTGGTGTTTTTCAGCTGGTGTGTGCTGCCTGCAGCCTTTCTCAGCCCCCACATGTTGGTGGTTCTTCTCTAGCTACTGCTGCCCCTGGTTGTAACATTCTTAATTTTAGGGGGAAGTTTCAGCTGGCTTGTCACACAGCTGTACCAGGTCACTGTGATGGGTTTGCCCCGGTCAGGAATGAACAAGTCTGTATATAGAAAGTATCAGAAGCACTTTTTATTTTTAAACTATTTTAGAGGGGAGGAAAGAAATAGATCAGGCTGTTGTCTCAAGTACCATCAGTCTGAAGTTTTTATATATTGATTAAAGACCCAGAGAAAATAAAATGTTTTACAAACCTTGAAACCATGCAAAAGCAAAGGTTTCTATTTCACATAGTGAAAGGCTCTGATGTTAGAAGAAGGGAAGAGAGGCGAGAGGATGCCCCATCACTCACAGGGGCCTCCGGCAGAGCACCTCCCACTTTGGTCCTGGCCTCCACCAGGGGCCGGCAGCCTGCCCTGCCAGGGCTCTGTTTAGTTCACTTGCTGAAGGTGGATGCTTTAGCTGCACAGAGTAAGGCATCTACAGCTTGGCTTCTAAACAAACTGGTCCTTTTAACTTTAAGCCCTTTGCTTTCTAGTTGTTCTCTAGTTAAAGCTGATTTTCTTCTTGAAGAAAGACCCTTTTTTATTTTATAATTTTTTTAAAGATTTATTTACTTCTTTTTAGAGAGGGAAGGGAAGGAGAAAGAGAGAGAGAGAAACATCAATGTGCGGTTGCTGGGGGCTGTGGCCTGCAACCCAGGCATGTGCCCTGACTGGGAATCGAACCTGTGATGCTTTGGTTCGCAGCCCGCGCTCAGTCCACTGAGCTACGCCAGCCAGGGCTTATTTTATAATTTTTTATCACTCTAAGTAGACCCACAGAGGCTTGGCAGTGCAGACCAACAGAGGTGATGTCACCTCTTCCTCCTTCACTGGCTTCTTTTTGTCCCATTGACCTTTATGGCTATGACTAGAAGAAATAGAGATGACACTTTATGTCAGTAGATGTCTGTAATTTACTAGGGCTTTCCTATAGGTTATCTGTTGCGTTTCATTCTTTTTAAAGATTTTTATTTATTTTTAGAGAGAGGGGAAGGAAGGGAGAAGAGAGAAACAGCAGTGTGTGGTTGCCTCTCGCAGCACCCCCTCCCTCCAACCTGTCCTGCAATCCAGGCATGTATGTGCCCTGACTGGGAGTTGAACTGGCAACCCTTTGGTTTGCAGGCCTGCACTCAGTCCACTGAGCCACACTAGCTGGGGCTATCTGTTGCATTTCATTATTCTTCCTAAAGGCTTTGGGGGAGAAGCATTATTTCACCCATGTTTCTAAGCTGCAGATTAGGAAACTGCAGCTTAGAAACAGGCAACTTCTGGGAAGAATTTCCAGAAGGGATGGAGTACATACTTGTGCATGTGTGTGTTTACTAGCAGGTGGTGGCAGTATGTGTCATGCTGCTGAAGAGCAGGTCATACGATAGCCAGAGCTGGTTAGGATGCGAAAATTCCATGGTTGCAGCCAGAGAGGCCAGTTCATCTAATGAGTTCCTGTCACTGTAAAGAAAAAACACACTTGCATGTCTCCTCTATTCTCAGTACTCTACTGTACTTCTGACACTTCTGATCACCAAGTATGTGGGAGTTCCCGAACCACACGATTCTGTGACACCAGCCAAGAGTTGTACAATTTATCTTAATTCTGCTGCGGTCTGCCTGGAGGTGGCGGTAGATCCCTCAGATTAAGGGCTCGGTCCCACAAGACAGCCCCCCATCCCCCTTCAGGAGCCAGTCAGAAGTCCAGGTTGTCATCTGTGCTTCTGACCAATTGTAAATGTGATGTTTCCCTGACCTGCTCCTCGAGTTCAGTTAATTTGCTTAGAGGGGCTCACAGAACTCGGGAAAACACCTTACTGCCCAGATTAAAGGTGTATTATAGAGGAATGTTATTCAGGAACAGCCGGGTGAAAGGAGGAGGGAGGAGCTTCCGCACCATCTCAGCGTTTCCACGTATTCGCCAACCTGGAAGCTATCCAAACTCCATCCTTCTGGATTTTTTGGAGACTTCATTATGTAGACTCCACGGATTAAATCATTGACCTTTAGTGTTTGATTCAGCCTTGGCCCTCTTCCTGAAGGGTTTTCCTGAAAGTCACTCATTAACGTAAACTTGCATTTGAAAGGGGCTTATTATGAATAACAAAAGACACCCTTTCACATTTATCTCGAGCTCTTGTAGGAACTGGCAACAAAGCTAATACTAAAATAGAAGTTGTCCCTGTGGCTCTTATGTGGGAAATTTATAAGAGTTTTAAGATCTACTTGTCAGTAACAGCAGGTGAAGATCATGTAAGCCATAATATCGCACTAAGGCCCTGGCTAAATGGCGGGTAGTGCTGCCTCTTCCCTCAAGAAATAGTGCTTTCTCTCCCACAGTTTTGTAACAGTGGGGAATTGAAACCCACCCCACCGTTATTTTGACGTTTCTGTAAATGCTGACTCTGACTAATATGTAGCTTGTAGACAACAGCATGCTTTTATAGGAATCCTAGGAACTAACCTCAAAAGATGCAGACTCTGACCTTCAGGCATCCCAGTTCCAGGAGATTTGCTGACCTTCAGCCGTGGAGCCAGGATGACTAAGCCAGCATGATGCACACCGGCCCCTCTCTTGCCTTATTGGAATGGACTGTGCTCCTGTGCTCGTCTGCGTGTAGAGAACTTTTCAACCCCCTTCCTTGATCTCTTTGTTCTCTGTTCCCTTCTCCTTATAAAAACCTTTGTCTCCACTGAGAAGTGCAGATGGGCTTTAAGACAAGAGTCCCCATTTCCCAGAGGCTGTCATTTGAATAAACCACTTTTTTTTTTTTTTTTGCATCAAGACCTGCCTGTCGAATATTGGCCTTCTGGCCTTCGTAGCAGCAGGCAGCTGGACCTGCGTTTGGTTTCATTTTCTCTTAAATTTGCTTGTGCATGGGTAGTATTGTTACCAAACTGCTCCCGGGCTGGGGGCTGGCGCTGCCCCTGCGTAGTTCAGTACCTTTTGGGACCTTTTGCAAATCAGGCGACCTCCAAGATCTTGACTAATGCAGGAGCAGTTTCAAGACACAAGTCCAGGTGAAAGTGACAGTAAGTTTATTAAAGCTTAGGACAGCCTGGCTGGTGTGGCTCAGTGGATTGAGTGTCACCAGTTCAGGTCCCAGTAAAGGCACATGCCTTGGGTGTGGGCCAGGTCCCCAGTAGGGGGTGCGCGAGTGCAACCACACATCAATGTTTCTCTCTTCCCCCCGCCCCCTTGCCCTCTGTGTAAAAATAAATACATAAAATCTTTTTTTTTTAAAAGTTTGGGACAGTAAGGGAAAGTAAGGGCCCCTGATGACAGGATGGGGGTAAGCCTGGGACAAGTATTAGAATTCTGGTGTGTCCTTAAGTCTGCTGATGCATTAAAATGAGCGTACAGTGGGGTCTGGATCATTTTCTGGTTAATTTTACCTTATGTTGGATTAGCCTGGCTCTAGTTGGTTTTTGTTATCTGGCTCCTGGCCGGTGATTCAAACCCCCTGCTCTTAGGCATCGTCAGTTAGGGAGGATTGGGTCAGGTGACTTATTAGCTGGCTGTTAATTGCTCAGACATTCCCACCACGCATTCAACTATTTGTCTCAGTTTTCTCATTCCACTTGCCAGGGAATCTCCTAGTTTCTTGATAATCTGCCTTAGTATCTTAATGAATTGGAAGAGTTACTTCACCATCAGAGAGACTTGTATTGATTTCCCACCCCCACCTGTGGGGCAACCACTTAAAGTGGCTCTGGAGACCTGGACATACACCTGTGGACTCCCACTGGTGTGACTGACTTCTGTAGCTCCCATACTCCGCTCATGGTGTGTTTAAGTGCTATGGGGTTTTTTGCAGCAAAAATTGGATGTCGAGTTTCAGAAGAGACTGGAAAGGAATAAAATTGCTGCAGAGGAGCAGACTGCAAAGCGTCGAAAAAAGCGGTAAGGGCTCTGTGGCCTCCCATAACTAATGAGACTTAAGGGCAGGGGATGGGAAAGCCAGGTGGTTGGCGGTGAATAGTCCTTATGGTCAGAAGTTCACCCGTATGACCTGTAAAGGTCTTGGGTGTTACAGCCCACCATGGAGCAGTCCAGAAGAGGAATGGCTTTCCCCCAGTACCTGGGGAGAAATCAAGTCACTGATGGTGCTCCTCCCCAGCTTGTTGCAAAGTCTCCAACGTTTGGAGGTTAGCACTTCTGTGATCGCATGAATTTCTGTCTTCACCTCTGTGTTTTAACATCAGGTTTAACTGAGTGCTGTGAATGAACTTCTCATTTAGCTTCTCCCTAGGGTCTCTGACCTCCCTGTGTGACTGCGTGCGTGTACAGGGTGCATGTGTATGTGTTAATAAACGCTCTCTTGTTGATGTAGGAAACCCATGTCCTATTCCAGACCTGTAGGGAATTTTTATAAGAATGTATTTGAGCCAAACTGATGACAGTTGCTGGGAAGCAAGATCTTAAGTGCTCCCCAGAATGACAGTTTGCCGCTTCTTTTATGCATTTGAAATTAAGGAGGGAAGGAAGGTTAAATGAAGATGGAAGAAAGCAAAGTGGAGACTGGATTGGTTGCAGGATATTTGCCAGGTTATGTGCTCTTTTGAGCAGGAATTACTTCTAAAAAGAGGCATTCCAAAGTTATGTTCACTTAGATACACTGAAACAATGGACAGGACTTGCTTAAGGCAAAGATAAACCTTTTACTAAAGAAGTTATGTGCCTGGGGCCTGACTACCCACCTGACCTGCCTGATTAGGAAATTATGATCAAATCACCCTATGGTGTTAGCTGCAGTGGAACCCCTTTTTATCCGCTCCCACAACTCTGAGAGAGCTGAACAGGATTTTTTTAAACAGTCTCTACATATCTTGGAAGGAGGAAGCATCCGCCAGTATTTCTAGATTGCTTTAAGCACCTCAGGACTCCTGAGGATTTATCTTGATGCATGAAGAAAACCACTTGATCGTGTTGATGTTAGAGTAGCAGAATCAAAAGAAAGTATTTCTTTCATTTTATTGTTGGTGTTTGTGTGATTATAAAGTGTTTAAAGGTCCTATAAGTAGATGTTCCTAAAATACACAATAAGCTGGCTAAGGAATTAACATATTTACATTACAATTGTAGCCAGAAGTTAAAAGAGAAGAAATTACTGGCAAAAAAGATGAAACTTGAACAGAAGAAACAAAAAGAAGGTGAGTGGTACCCACTTTTCTTGGTCGTGACCTTTGTTGGTGTTGCTCACAGAGGCTGACCTGTCAAGAATGAGATCTAGAATTTGAAACTGAGTGGCTGGCCGGTGAAGAAATGAGGCCTTATTTCTGTTAGGGCTCATTTAATTGCAAGTGTCAGAAAGCCAAACTGGGTTAGGCACAAAAGAAAGATACCAGCTCACGGCAAGTCCAGGACAGAGCTTTCTTCGGGCGGGACTAGTCAAAGAGCTTCGCCTAGGTCTCCTCTGTCTCCTGGCACCCTGTCCTCAGGGTGTCCTCCCTCTGGTGGTGAGGTCCCCGGAAGCTGTAAGCATGCCTCATTCTGGTCCAGCAGGAAAAAGTAAGGGGATGTCCCTAACAGAAGTGTTTTTGTGTCCCTTTGCCTCTGATTGAGTCACGTGGCAAGTCAGTTAAGAATGCTTTTGGCTAGAAGAAACAGAAGTCCCAACTAGCAGTGGGTAAAAAGGAGTTCATTTTTCGTACATGACAGGAAACCTGGTCGTAGGTGGCACGTTGAGGCTCTGATCTTGCTGATACTCAATTTAGCAGGCCAGGGGCCTGGCTGCGTTTGAAGCATAGGTTCTGCCCAGCCTTCGTGGGCTGTGGTTCCAGCATCCGCTCGGTCTTCGGTCTTTGTCGTGCTCTCCAGGTGCGTCCTGCCAGGGCTGCCCAGTACCCAGTCAGGGTTGAGTTCTTTTTGAGTTCGGTCCTCAAAGTGCTGGGTGTGGTGATTAGGGCCAGGCTCATGCACACACTGTCTGCATGAGCCCAAGGGTTCATCCACAGCTCCGTGGGGTCTCGTCTAATCTCCCCCATCCCTGATCTGCCCGGTAGGTCTGGTCTCTCAGGCGGAAAACTGGGGCCTTAGTTACTCTACCACACACTCTACCACCACAGTGGCGCCAGGGCCAAGCAGTGGGGTGACAGAGAGGGAAAGGCCACAGGCGCTTGCCCAGCCATCTTAGGACCACAGCTCCTTTGGTAAAGGTTCCCCTCCAGAGTTTGCCTGCAAGCTCGTACTGCTGTGGCAGTCGCTGCTGTCACTGTGACCCCAGTGGGATTGCCTGGGAGGCCAGGGTGTGGGAGTGCAGAAAAGAGAGTCAATGCAAGAATTTCTTACTGTTGAACCGGAACTGGGGAGTTTCTCTTGGATCTCTGTCTGTGCCCAGTCCCCACTTCTGAGTGCTGGGTCACCCTGAGTGCAGGCTGGGGGACAGTAGGGGGAAAAGTAAAGAACTGCAAACCGTTTCTGGGCACTTTATATTCTTACCTCTTTCTCCAGTCTGCTTGCTTTTCAGAACCCATGCTTCCTGTCCAGGTTCTGTGGTTGTGTTCAGTGGAGAGACGGAGTTGGATGTGCTTCCTGTGTCTTACCTGGGACCCTGTTGTGGTTTTCTGAATCCAAACTCAGGACTTTACATTGACCTCTTTTGCATTTTAACTTGATGTTATTGGCTCTTTTGATTCAGGTCCCTGAAATCCTTTTGGATTCTGAAATTCGTCATGTTACTCTTTCTGATGTTATGGGTGGGTTTGATACACATGCCTCCAAAATGTTGAGCCAGAGTGGGCCAGGGCCAGAGCCCCCCAGCATCTACCAGAAAGTTCCATGTAGGCTGGCCCAGACCTTTTTATGAAACTCGTTTGGTGGAGTTAGTCTCCCGCTAAGAGTCAGCTAGACTCTTACTCCCTCTGACCCGCAGAGGTGCCCTGAGAAACAAAGAGGTGATTGGAGGGTGTGGAATGAGGACAGTGGATAGGAGTTCTACGCTCAGCTCGCACTCTGGCTCATCCTGGCCTCTTCTGTTTGAGCAGCTTTTTATGTTTTGTTTTTCAGCTTGTAAAATGATAAGCTCTTTTTAGGTCTAAAATCCTGCAATTTAGTAACTTTGCCATATGCCTTGCTGTAACGAAGATAAGCTGCACTGCAGAGGGGGTCTTCCCTCACCAGTGTGTCTAAGGCCCTTTCAGAACAAGATACTTGGGTATTTTGCTCTGAGTTTGTGCTTAACCCGTGCTGGATCTTTGGAATTGCATATTAACTTTTTAGTAGTTGGTCCTAGAATTGAAAGAGACAGGTGGCAACATCACAAAACTGGGTTTCTTAAATTCTCGTCTCCCAACTTTTTTAGACATTAATTTGCCTGATGATGTAAAGAATATTTGAGATTATGTAACAGGTTTTAGTACTTTGCAGTAGATTTTACCCAGAGCCTTCAGCTCGTTTAAAACGGCCACGTGCCCTCTCACTGCGTCCCCCCGGTCTGAGTTCCATCACATCGTGGAGTCACGCTGTGGTGGCAGAGCGCTGCTTCCACACTGAGGGCTGTGACCCTTGACTCACTGGGGCATGAAATGGTTTCAGAGGTTGCAGCTACAGTTGTTCTCAAACATGAAACAGGTGAGAAGGTGTCAGAGTGCTTACACTCGGATTCAGTATTTTGTGAACATTTCTTTCCATTTGGGCTACGGGGTTCAGTCAAACAGACCTGACCGTCATTGGTGTAGCGCATGGTCCCTGCCTGCTCTTACACTTAATTGTGAAGTTGGCACCTGCACGTATTTTTAAACGATTAGTGATCATGCGTGGTTGCACATGCTTCATACCCAATGAGCGGCGCAGAGAGTGCTGTAGGGATAACCGTCATGGAGACAACGGTCTGTGTGCTTTTTACCTCGCCGTCTTAGTTTCCTTCCTTAGTTTTCATTTTGTGAAACAATACAGATTTTCTAGCTGTTGGAAATGAATAGAAACTCAATGTTGTGGTACTCTGTTGAGCCACAAGGTGGCTTCGGTGGGCTGCTGGCTTCTTGGACTTGGAGGTAAACCACTCAAGCTTTTTTGGAAGCGGTAAGGGGCAGGCAGCTGGCTAGGAGTTCCGTTCTGTTGTAGGAGCGGAAGTGTCCCCACTTCTTGTTGGTGCTGGTCCAGTAATCTAGTGAAGACTCCATGCAGCACGGGACTTGTTTCTGGAGGACACCATGGGATCGCATTCAGCCAATGTGGATTATTATGAAGCCTTGAACTTCCAAGACGATGTATTCTAACACCAGTGTTACTTATCCTAGCATAGGCCTGCCTACCAAAAAAACCCAGGGTGACCTTAAGGTGATTTATTAGTAGGTGCCTTGAGAGCAGCTTCTCAGCTTCTCAGCCTCAGCACTGTGGAATTGACATTTTGGGCCAGGTTGTTCTTTGCTGCGAGGGGCAATGTCCTGTGTCACTGTAGTATATTTAATAACATCCTGGCCTCTGTCCACTAGATGGCAGTAGGACCCATCCTCCCCTCTGTCATTGACAGGCAAAAATAGCTTTAGACATTGCCAAATGCTCCCTGGGTGGGGGAAGGATACAAAATTACCTCCAGTGGAAACTCAGTTGGTATCTGGAGTTCAGAAAGCACTCAGTAATATGTTTTGGATAGAACTGTTTGCTTCAAGTGACAAAATTCGGGTCCATGTTGGAAAACTATTCATATCCTTTGTATCTTTTGAAAATAAAGGTAATGATCATTTGATAATTTTTGAATATGCCAAAAATAAAATATAAAAATTATCCATAATTCTTACTAAAAATACTTTAATATTTTAATGACATTTTTTAAATCTCAATTTTCAAATATATGTTATATAAACCTGTTTGTACACTACATTTATGGTTGTCCTAATTTTATAATTAAAACTGTATCAAAAATATTTTCCAGCCCTGGCTGTTGTGGCTCAGTGGACTCAGTGCCAGCCTGTGAACCAAAGGGTCGCTGGTTCAATTCCCACTTAGGGCACATGCCTGGGTATGGGCCAGGTCCCCAGTTGAGGGTGTGTGAGTGGCAACCACTCATTGATGTTTCTCTCCCTCTCTTCCTTCCTCCCTTCCCCTTTGTCTAAGAATAAATACAAATTGAAATAAAGAAATAGCAGTTAATAGAGTAATAGAAAAGCTCAAATATTCTAACATCACATTTTTATTTTCTTTTAATCTCGTCATATGCATACATCATTTGTATATAGTTATAACTTGTATGAACAGTTTTCCAATTTTATTTAACAGTATAAGCATAATCCAGTCCTATATAATTTTCCGAGTGACTGATAATGTCCAGCAGTTGACATGGCAAGGTATACATAATTTTTCCTTTTTGTTAGACATTAGATTGGTTCCATTTTTCTCTCCTTTAGAAGATACTTGAGTGAGTATTATCTACCTGTCTCCCTTCCCCCCTTTCTGGGCGTTTTCCTTAGGACAGATTCCCAGCAGTAGGGATGATGAGGTCAGAGGAGAGCAAGGGTTCATGGCTCTTGAAACACAGCACGTTCCCTGTCAGAGAAGCAGCACCGGTTTTTACTGCCGTCGGCAGCGTGCAGCTGTGCGCACTTTCCCACATCCTTGAAGGCACTGGCTTTTAACAGCCATTTCTCCATAGGGGTGAGCATGTGACTTCAGAGGAAGTTACAGTCCCAGTGAGAATTTAGTAAAAACCATACAAAAATACAGATTGACTTGCTCTGGCCGGGTAGCTCAGCTGTTAGAGCATTGTCCTGATAAGCCAAGGTTGTGGGTTCAATTCTCCAGTTAGGGCACATGCAAGAATCAACCAGTGAGTGTATCAGTAGGCTGAGCAACAAATCTACCTCTCTTTCTCTCCCCCTCCCCTCCCCCTCCTTTGTCTTCTCTCTTTCTAAAATCAATAAGTGAAAAAAAAAAAACTTTAGCTTTGGCTGGTGTGGCTCAGTGGTTTGAGTGCCAGCCTGCGAACCTAAACGTCACTGGTTTGATTCCCCATCAGGGCACGTGCCTGGGTTGTAGGCCACGTCCCCAGTTGGGCCATGCAAAAGGCAACCTATCGATGTGTTTTTCTCCCTCTCTCCCTCCCTTCTCTAAGAATAAATAAAGTATTTTTTTAAATATTATATATATGTACACACACACACATATATACGTATGTACATGTATATATCTCCAGATCTGCAGGACCACAGTAGCT